GGAGGAGGACGATTCTCAAAAGATTCCCCAATATCATGGATTTGTCAGCCTTTCTAAGTATTTTTATTCAGTCTGTAATAATCTATTTGTCTCTGTTTCTATCTATTCTGTTTACCACATGTTGGGTCTATCTAATCTACCCATCTGTCTGTCTGCCTGTCTGTCTGCCTGTCTGTGGTGGTACGTTATATCCTAAATGCGTGGTGGGTTTTGAGGGGGTGGGGTTGTTTGTGTTTGTTGTTTGGGTTTAATTTGTTTTTTTCTGCCTGTATTGTTTGTGTAATTGTTGTTGTGGAGTTGGTTTTTTGTTGGTTTTTTAGGGGGGGGGGTTATTTATTTGTTTGGGCTTTAGTATTTGCTTTTATCTGTTCTCTAACAGGTTGGGTTTTTATTCTGATTAGATAATATCGAATGAAAATCTCACCTTTGTAATTATTTACGTGTGTGGGACATTAAACTCAAACAAAGATTATGTCTGAAAGCCGCATCAGTTTCTGTCGCATAGAAAAGAGGGACGTTCAAAAGTTTTGATCTCATCCGAAAAAAGTGTGTGTGTGTGTGTGTGTGTGTGTGTGTGTGTGTGTGTGTGTGTGTGTGTGTGTTGTTATTGTAGTTTTTATTGTGCAGGGGGATCATATTACTAAACTTCAATAGACCTTCTTTCAGTGTAATAGCAGCCCAAAGCCATGGTGTGAATGAGTGCTTCTTTCGGATCCGGAGCCAAAGTTTTTTATCACATGATTTACATTGTCGTGGGGCGTGGGGTTTTTGTGTTTTGGGAATTTTTGTTTTGTTTTGTTTTGTTTTTGTTTTTGTTTTGTTTCGGCCTGCTTTACCTCTGTTATAAATACCGCAGACAACGTCATGAAAACTCTAGTGTGGCAAATCCTAATGCTTTGAACCCCAACATCAGTCCACATCTGACCGTCGATTTGAACTCAACTTCCTTCGTCTCAGTCGTTCACAATGGAAACGCCTCGTGTTCTATCCCCAGTTGAAGACGCTACCGATGAGACTCAGATGTTGATTGATTCGGTAAGCTTGCATATCTTATTTTAGAACATTTGAAGACCAATGCAATGTAAATATGCTCACAATGGGAAAGTATAGCCTATAGAAGTAAGGGAAAAAATGAGGCAGAGGTATTTTTAAAAAACTGACTTTGAGAACGTGTACAGATATGTTAGGAGAAAAGCCCAGGGGAAGATTTATGATACATAGAGCCTATCTACCTTGTTAGGTTTGTTGAGAGCATCCAAGAAGAGAAATGAATTGCAAATTATGATCACCTCCTGTGTCTGATACACATCTTTTGTTGAATTTAACTTTCACTCAAGTGAAGCAGGTAGGACAGTAAGTAATTAATGAACGGTAAGGATTACCGTCAACAGGAAGTTGTTTATCGCTACCCACCAACTGTAGGATAATAATCAGGAGCGGTTCGTCCAGAGAGCACAGTCGTGCAGTGCCGCCTAAGACGTTTTAATAATACGAAAAGCAACCACAGACATTAAATAAAAGAAGCCAGAAACCAACCCTAGCCAAATACAATATCAAAACAAGGACCTCCCTGGCGCCGTAAGTGTCATTTCTGTGTCAAAAGCGCCGTAAAACATCTACTATGCAATGTCAAAGTCCACGCACTTTATCTAAACATAATAGGATATTCAACAGTGGCAATCTGAACTATATATCGCTCTTTGGGATAACCCAAGCGTTGACAACACTCGTAGCGAGTTTGGTGGTACATTAATATTAATAACACGGCACATCTCAGATGTGCACCCACGAAACATAGCCCACAGTAGGCAACCTAAAAATAAATGCCATAGACTGTACACTATTCTTTGCCAAAATTATGTGATCACTGGAGCAATCCAGCGGAGTGCTTAAGTGAATTGTGAATTGTCTTGCCACTATTTTAAGTGACTCTGTGACCGTGAACCTGAGGGAGGTGAATGTGACATACTCGTACTTAAGTCACCGTCGTATGAGTTGTGCCTTTGAAAGGTTTTGTAGTGGAGTGGTGAAAGTTATTAGATCTTCTTGAGTGTTCTGTTCCAATGCAGGATAAAGAAATTGATGCTTAGCTAACAAACAGATTTAGTTCTGGAAATCAAAGTGACAAGCAAAAAGAACAAAAATAAAAGCATAAGGTCCTCCTTCACCAACCCAAAGATCCTACCATCCCATTTACTGTGCCCTTGACTATCTTCAAACTGCTATTTCTTAATTGTGCGCGTCCACTTGTTAGCCCCACAAGCCGCCCCTGATAATAATAATGTATCATGAGCATTTATAGTAACCCAGAATGACATTATTTAATTTAATGCTTTGTTTTGTAAATTGTATATTGTCTCTGTAGGCCTACTCTTTCTACTATCTTTTCTTCCTTCCCATCTCCCCAAAACAAGGTTAGGACTCTACCTGAAAAATATACCTTTAGTGTATCTCTAGATTTAGGATGTAATGTTAGACACAGATGTAAATGACTTTGCAGGGTTATTTAATTTTAGTTTCTCCACATTTCGAAAGTATAAAAGCTCAGGACATTCGCCCCAATGTTTTTGGGGATGGGATCGTCAATGTCATGGTGTCGAAGATTGCTGTCAGAACAGCTAAGTTCACTTCCGGGTCAACACAATATGCCACCTGAAGTCATTAAGTCATACGAAATGTTTCATGTTCAAGCTCTTTGAAAGACCGTACAGCGAAAAAAATAGATCAGCTTAGTCTGTAATAGTCATAGCATTCGATAAAAAAAATCTAACGTGTGCAATAGTTCTTGGTCGCCTCTGTGCTCACATCTCTTGGTTTAACAGTGGGAGGAGTTCTGAAAAGGATAACGATTGTGTTCACCAAATGTACAGTTGAAGCCTCAAGCCCGACTTATGTATCTAAGTAATATCATCCCTTTTTTCATTGGGTGGCAAGAGGGCACGCGCAGGCAGCCCCCCCCCTTTTTTTTTTCTCACTGTTGTTTCTGTCTGTATTACTTTTCCATTTACACAAAATGTCAGTAATTGAGCTGATATGCTTCTTGTTACTCAAGCTTAAACCTTACCAGTAATCATTTTTCAGGTGTATGAGGATTTTATGGAACGATGTTCTAAGAATTACTCCATGTACAAGGCATTGCAGTACAAGACTGAAGGAACCTCATTCTATTTTGTCAAGGTAGGAAATGAGAACATTCTGGTAAAGGTAACCCCCGCCCCCTCGCTCCGACCCATTCCTTTCCATGTCTTCACGCTTCACGACGATCGGTAATGTCCTAATGTATATCATTTTCCTGTGAGTCGTTGCAGCAACCTCACGATGATTTCAGATCTTAAGCATCAGGGTGAAAAGGGGTGGAAGGGGGGGGGGTGATACGCTTTACTTTATTTTTACCAAAACAATTAGTTGTCAGTGTTTAGGTTCTACTGAGACAATGCAACGTAGGTTGGTGTGTAAAAACTGGATACATCTACCTGAAGAGGGATAGATTGGGATGGGTTTGGGGGGGTGGGGGTAGTATCACCAGTGTGTTCTATTTCTTTGCAATCGCATGTATTTTGTTGTTGACCTTTTCCCCGTGCATCACTACTAGTGCATAAGAATAAGACCATTGTTATGATTGTTAATCTATCATTCTTGCAACGGGGGCGGGGCGTGTACATCATATTTTTCCTTTCTATTTTAGATTTTGTTGTGTAGATTTTTGTTTTTCTTTTTTCTTTTCTTTTTTTTTTTGGTGTGTGTGTGTGTGTGG